TTTCCCTGAGGAATTGTCAGTTGTGGACTTTTCATACAAATGGAATACTAGGATTGTGGTCTTTTGTAACTTTCTTTTACATAACATGTTTTCAATGTTCATTCATGTTGAGACATAGATCAGTTTTCATTCCATTTTTTTTTGGTAAATAATATTCCATTGTATTGATACATCACATTTCAATTATCCATTCATCTGTTGATGGACATTTGGGTTGTTTCCACTCTTTTGGCTATTATGAATAATGCTACTATGAATATTCAGGTTCAAAGTTTTATGTGTACAGATATTTTCAGTTCTCATTTGAATATACCAAGGAGTAGAACTGCTGGGTCATTTGGTTATTCTGTTTAATTTTTGAAGAACTAAAAAATTGTATTCCAAAATTGCTACACTCTGTTATGGTATTCAGCAAAGAAAGATCTTTCCAGTGTCTTCATACATTTGCTAACACTTGCTTGGTCTGTTTTGTTTTTAGCCATACTAGTGGGTGTGAAATGGCATCTCATTGTGGTTTTGATTTGCATTTCCCTAATGACTAATGATGAGTGTCTTTCCATGTGTGTATTGGCCATTTATTTATATTTTTGTAGAACTATCTACCCAAATTCTCTGTCCATTTAAAAGTTGGGTTGTCTTTTTATTACTGAGTTGTTAGAGTTCTTTATATAGTCTCTATATAAGTTCCTTCTTAGATATGTGATTTGCAAATGTTTCTCCCATTCTATGGGTTGTGTTTTACCTTTTGTTATGGTGCCCTTTGGAGTTTTAATTTTGATGAACTCCAATTTTTACATTTTTTTTCCTTTTGTTATCTGTACTTTATATGTTGTTTCTAAAAAACCATTGCTTAATTCAAGGCCACAGATTTCATATATTTTGTTAAAAGTTTCTTATGTTTAGTACTTACATTTAGATCTTTGATCCAATTTGAGTTAACTTTTGTATATGTTGCAAGGAGGGCTCCATCCTTATTATTCTGTATGTGGATATACTGTCTCAGCACCATCTATTGAAAAGGTATTCTTTCCTCATTAGATTATCTTGGCAGTCTTGTTAAAAGCCAGTTCACCATAAATGAAAGGGTTTACATCCTGATCCTCAAATCTAAGCTATTAGTCTATATATTTGTCCTTGTGCAGTATACTATTTTCACAGCTGTAATTTTATTGTAAGTTTCAAAATAAAAACATTTGAGTCTTTCGGTTTTTTTATTTTCCAATATTGTTTGGTTTATTTTGGTTCCCTCATGTTTTTATATGAATTGTAGTGTAAGTGTGCCAATTTCTACAAATGATTAGCTGAGATTTCCACAGGGATTTCAGAGAATCTATAGATTTGTTTGTGGATTTTTGGCATCTTAACTATAGAAATGCAATTGATTTTGTTACTGATCTTGTATCCTGCAAACTTGCTGAACTTTTTTTCTTTATCTAATTGGCATGGTTAAAACCTCAAGCATAATGTTGACTAAAAGTGATGAAAGCAGACATCCTTTTACTGTTATTGATCTTAGGGAGAAAACATTGAATTTTTCACCATTAATTCTGAGATTGCCTGTAGATGGTCTTATCAAGTTGAGGAGGATTCCTTCTATTACTAGTTTGTTTTTAATTTTTTTATTAAGGTATTATTGATACATACTCTTACGAAGGTTTCACATGAAAAAACAATGTGGTTACTACATTCACCCATATTATCGAGTTCCCCCCATACCCCACTGCAGTTACTATCCATCAGTGTAGTAAGATGCCACAGAGCCACTAGTCTTCTTTGTGCTACACTGTCTTCCCCACGATCTCCCCCACACCATGTGTGTCAATCATTATACCCTACTAGTTTGTTTTTTGATTGTTTTTATCACAAAGGATGCTGGAGATTGTCAAATACTTTTACTGTGTGTTTGAGATGATCATCTAGGTTACCCAACAGGTTTATAGTTGTTCTCAGTTTTTCCTTTTAGACTTTTTATTACTGTAAGGTTGGTAGTGCTCCCTCTTTTCTTCCTGATTTTAGTAATTTAAGTCTCTCTTTTTTTACCTTGTTCAATATAACTAATAATTTTCAATTTATTGATACTTTCAAATAACCAACTTTTGTTTCATAGACTTTCTCTAATATTTTTCTAATCTCTACTTCATTTATTTACACTCTAATCTTTCTATTTCTTTCATTTTGTTTGCTCTGGATTTAGAATGCTCTTCTTTTTACAGCTTCTTTTTTTAACGCAATATTTTTCTAGTTTTATCATGATATAGTTGACATACTGCACTGTATAAGTTTTAAGGTATACATCATAATGACTTGACTTATAGATATTGTGACATGACGACAGTAAATTTAATTAACAACTGTCATCCCAAATAAATACCTAAAAAAGAGAAAAAAATGTTTTTTCCTTGTGATAAGAGCTCTTAGGATTTACTCTCTTAATGATTTCCAAATATACAACTGTTAAGTATAATCATCATGTTCTACATTATATCACAAGTACTTATCTTATCTTATAACAAGAAGTTTATGCATTCTGAGCACCTTAATCCAATCTTTCCCCTTCCCTATACCCACAAAGCTGTCTTATTTCACTTAGGATAATGCCTTGAGGTCTATCTTTTAGCAAATGGCACAGTTTCTTTTTTATGGCTGAATAATATTTCATTGTAATGTGTAACATTTACATATTCAAAGAAGTTTACTTAAAAAAATTTTTTGTTTATGCATTTGCATTTGTTTATTTTTAAAATAAACTTCAAATTAGCTTTTCTCACTTGGCTACAGAAATTTGATATTCTATCATTTTACAGATTGAAATTTATTTAAAAAATGTTTATTTATACCAAAATATATACATATATTTATACTCATACCCTCACATATAAATGAGATTGTTTGACCAACATGTTATTTTTATTATTTTCCTTTGTCTCAGTGTACTCATTTTTTGTCCTGATTGCTTTACTTAATTTTTGGTTCAGATAACCTGCATTAAAGTTTGCTTTCCATTAATATTCTACATGCTAAGTGACTATATACAAACATATTTCCACAATACGTCAATGATGTTTTTATATACACAGACACATGCTCATAGTAAAAATTTCCAACCAAGAATATTTAGTGCCTTTCTTTTGTTCTAATGATATTCTTTAAAGAGACTTTATACTTTCTTTATATGTATCCTGTAGTTTTTTAAAATTTATTCTCTTAATAATTAAATTTTTATAGCTATCATGACTTAGGTAATATTTTTGCATTGATTTCCTGTTGCTTATTCCTATTACAGTCTTCTGATTTTTAATTTTCTATTTTTTAGCAGGAACACAAAATTTCCTTATTAATTCCACTAGTTTCCTATTGGAGTTTCTTGCACTTTCTCAATGCATAAGAATGTCTCTGGGATTAAAAAAGAGATAGGTCCAATTTCATCAATTTTAATATGTCAATAATTGTAAGATGTACTGTGTTTCATTATTAAATAGATAATGTTCCGAATTAACCTATGAACAATGGTAGATGTCATCCATTATATGATATTTTTCCATTTCAGAAAAGAAAAATGTTAATAAAATAAGACTTTAAAATCAATCAGATGCAACGGTTTTATTTATTCTTTTAATATTTTTCCTGATTATGTTGTTTCCTTATGTTATTGCATGTCCAAAATCTTCCAATAAAATATCAAGCATTTCTGTTTTTAACTCATCACACTTTTTGGGGTGGGGTTTATCATGCTATGGGACTTTTACAAAGACTTGGCTTTTGAATTACTTTAACTTATTTACTTGATTTCATTTTCTACTATAGTAACTTACAATTTCAATTTCAATATTTTTATTTTTAAAAATTTATTAGAAAAAGTGAAAGTTCCTTTCTCTAGGGCTAGTTTATACTTTTGTAAATGAGGAATGCACTTAATGTAACAGAATTCCTCCTGGTTATAGCTTTTTCAGCTCTATGTAATTTGCTATGACATGTCTGCATTTCATTGCTTTCCACATAGCAATTAGTTAATTTGAAGTAAGTAGCTTAGTTTCCAAGGGATTATATTTCTGTGGATTTTTCAATTATTTATATCTAAGAATTTATATTATTATGACAGAATCTGGTCTATAAAAGCCTAATTTGTGTTAAATGCAGTCACAGACTATCAAGTACTCTGGGGAACGTTCTTCCCTTGACCCACAGCTGTATAAGCAGCAGATAATACTTTTCAGAAAAAGTGTGTAATCTTTGTGTAAAAATCAGCATGGTTTTCTAATTCAAACTTTCTTTGAATGTACAATGATTGTATTATTCCAAAAGATCCTATTACATTAATCCTACGACTTTTAACCTGAGCCTCTGTGATCCATAATGTGATCTCTGCCATCTGTCCCCAGATCTGTGCTCTCCTGAGTGTCCACTAGTCATTTCAAAGATATTTCTCTAATTTTAGTTGAATCTTTACTTTAGACACCTTCTATTTACAAATTTGTAATAATTTCATCAATAGATTTGAAAGATATTTATTTTTATCCAATATTCCTGTGTTCATAATTGCTATATTTTCCTGTTTTCTCAATATGAGAAGTGTTATTATTCTGCTTCACATGTATTTTATGTGATTATTCATCCATTGTAGATATTTTTATGTGAAATTACTCTTATTACATTGGTTTGGATAGTATTATTTGGTATATTTGAGAAGAGATACAAAGAATTTACCCTATATTTTTCTGAGTAATGATTTTTATCATATGTAAAAAGAAGATTATGAAGTAATTTTTCAAAATGATACTTTTTTTAGAAATTGACTTGCAAAACTATCAGATACTGGTTTGAAAAATGAAGATACCAAGACAGCATGAGCAAGGCTCAATAGAAGTTATGTTAAAGAAGTACTGAGAAAATTCGTGTAACTTAAGTATTTATTATTTAAAAACAAACAAGATTATAAACTTCAAAAGTAAAACCTCTGTGGCCATTCATGTTTTTGTGATGTTTAAAAATATTACGTTCTTTTACTTAGTCGAGAGCAAGGCAATTTTTTTGATTGAGTCTTTGAAGGCTTTCTTAACTTGGTTGTTTCTCAAGGTATAAATAAATGGGTTCAATGTAGGTGAAATAGAAAAAATGAGCAGTGAAACAACTTTATTAATGGTCACTTCTTCCTTTGATGTAGGATTCATGTAGATGAAAATGCAGGAGCCATAGGTGATGGAAACCACAATCATGTGGGAGGAACAGGTCGAAAAGGCCTTTTTCCTTTGTTGAACAGAAGGGAATCTGAAAATTGTCTTGATGATGGAAGCATATGAGAGAACTACACAGGTAAGAGTCATATTTAGGGTCAGCACAGCACAGATGATGACTGTCTGTTCCATGGACCATGTATCTGAGCATGAGATTTTCACTAAGGGAAATGCATCACAGCCAAAGTGATCAATCATGTTGGAGTCACAAAATTTTAGAGTTAAGCCCCGGCTAAGGGGTGGGATTATTACACATAAACCAGCCATCCAAGAACATATGATGAGAACCCTGCAGACTCTGCTGCTCATGATGATCACATAATGCAGGGGTTTGCAGATGGCCACATAGCGGTCATAGGACATGGCCGCCAGCAGGAAAAATTCTGTTATTCCACAGAGGTCGATAAAAAACACTTGGGTGGCACAAGCATTGTAGGTAATGACCTTGTCACCTGTTGCTATGTTATACAAGTATCTGGGGATAATGGCAGTTGTGAATGAGATCTCCAAGAAAGAGAAATTTTTTAAGAAAAAGTACATGGGTGTTTTAAGGTGAGAATCCACAAAAGTGAGTGTGATGATCGTCAGGTTTCCAGCTACATTCAGTGTGTAGGTGAGAAATAGAAAGATGAAAATCAGAACCTGCAGGTCAGGATCATCTGTCAGTCTCAGCAGAATGAATGTAGTTACTGTACCATTTCTCATCACTGACTTCTGACTTCTCTCCAATCTGTATGTGATAGACAAATTTTCTTATAGATTATGGATTATTTCAATTGTTCTAAAATTTAATGTTTTTAATCATTTCTATTTCATTATAGTTATAATAATATCTATATCTACATTTTATGTTTATCCTGTGCTTAGGATTTTCCCATATGACTAAGCAGGGTGCTGAGGAGGCTTAATTTTCTGGGTGGTAAAAATACGTTTTGGCTCTCAAGAATTATTCCATGTTCAGAAACAAAATCACAATATTTTACCCTTGATTTCATGTCTTTTCTTGACACTTTGTGTCTTTTCAAATAACTGTGCCAACATAATTTAGGCTTATAATACAGACTCTAGAGCAAATCTTGAGGACTTTATGCCAAAAGAAGGTTCTTGTTGGTGTTTTTTAGGTTATGTATGCTTAATTCTTATAAACAAACTTAAGCTCCGTTGGTCACCGCCATCCCTGCTAAACACTTACCTTATTTTTTTTTAAATATATATATTACCTTTACTGCTGATGCAAGTGATGACTGCCTACTCTTTCCATTTACATCTTCCAGACAATGAATTATTTTATCTTGATTGATGTTATATCAGTGGGGACTTAAATGTTTCTAATATACTAAATCTGTATTTCAAATCTTGAGCTCCTGACATCAATTAACAGAAAATAATTCCTTTTTATACTTGGTTTATTTGCTTTATGAATGGATTCACTTATTGTTAACATATGTATTGCATGTTAGCAATAAGTGAATTGGGGCGGAATTGCTTGTGACTTGTTCACATTGTTCTCAAAATAGAGAAAAATCACTTACTGAAGATAATGGCTTACTCAAAAGTTAGAATCCTCTTAAGATAATTCAGCAATTATCAAGTTTCAATATCTAATTGAAAAATAGAAGGGATATTTACATATATGTACAATTACATTACATATAAGTTTTGCATCTCACTTCTCTTCCTTCCATCTTTTCTCTTAATTTCTCAGATTGTACATCATTACAAAATTTTACTCAGCCTTTCAAACATTTGATAGTGAGTTGAGCATTCAATCTCAAATTATATCTGTTTCTCCATGCAATTACCACTTATTTTATAATAGATTAACACTAAATTTTAACTGAGTAATTTCTATTTATTCTTTCCAACAAATGCTCAAAACAAATGTGGGAATCTGTTACGAGATGTTGTCACTTCAGTCATTATGTTTTTCTTTTTTGGGTGAGAAGAAGAATGCAAGGGAATGCTGATATACTTCTATACATCCAAAGACACTTTATTTTTAAATGAATTTGAATATGTATTCAAAATCACTAAGATTATTTCTTACATTAAGTTAGATACACATGTTGTATGTTTTATGCATAAAAATCTCCCATGTAATGATATTTTGTCTATACAAGGGAAATTCGTTCTTAAAAATTACATCTCATAAACATGTCTAAAATACATTAAAATGCATAAATTATCACTGAAATTATTGTATTTTCCAGAGGAAAATACAACCTATATCTTACAAAATGAATTACAAACAAAGAGACAAACTTTATCATACTTACTCTTCTGGCAGTAAATCAGAGCTTCTGATTAGTTGTTATTTAAACAAAGCAATATTAAGACTGCGATGTTGAAAGTGGTAGTTTTATAAAATTACTTATATCTTCACATTCATTAGCATGTTTGAGTCATAGAGTTCCCTTTGTTTACCATCTCTAACAAATTGGGTAGACATGCTTATGATGGGCTTAGTGCTGTTATAAGCCTCCAAATGTTTTCTTTTTGTCTCCATCACTGAAAAGAAAATATATTGCTCTAAGGGCTGAGAACCTCTCTCCACTTGTGGAAGAGAAAAATGCTTTTATAATGTCAGGTGTGACTTTTCTTTCTAATTTGTAGAAAATGTTATTAAGTGAAAAAAAAAACAGGTCTTTGGTGACCTAGAATCAGTAGTCATTAATTAATTTTCTGAGTATGAAATTTGGCAGTAATACAAGTAAAAGGCTTTAGTGGAGACCATGTCTTTGGAGACAGGTGGCTGTCACAGCATCATTTGGCACAGGTCAGGAGGACACTGTGTCAATTCAATTACATAGTTCATTTTTTTGAACTTTCCTATTTAGTAAGGCATTTGGAAGATCATAATCCTTTATCATATGGTCAGGAGGACACTGTGTCAATTCCATTACATAGTTCATTTTTTTGAACTTTCCTATTTAGTAAGGCATTTGGAAGATCATAACCCTTTATCATATGAATTGTTTATCATTAGACAATGTTAATCAGATGAGCGAAAGGAAAAGTTTATAAATTATTTAAGGCTACTACTTGTATTATAGACTTTATCCTTCCATATTTTTCTTTCCCCAGATACATCAACTACATTATAAATATTAACCACCAATGCATAAAAATCTTCAGCCATATCTTAAAATTGTATAAAAATAATCTGCTTTTGTGGTTGCATAGCAATTTGAATTTGTTAATGACACTGACTTTTACACCTCAAAATTGTCAAAATGGTAAATTTTATGTTATGTATATTTCATCACAATAAAGAACATACAATTTTATATTTATATATGTAAACATATCTTCATTTGTGACATAATATTAATTTGACTTTACCAATTATTCAGTATCAACAATGTTGAATGTATGCATATTTTGGTAATTTTAAAACAACGCCTGACATAAATCTACACTGTTTTTATTTTCCAGGTATCAAGTCATTCTGTAAAAAGCATTTTCATACAAATATTTTTGTATATATAAGAATAACTGGTAGAAGTCAAATGTCTACACAAAAATGTTATTTCACTTGTAAAAATTTGTGTAATAAGAATCATGGCTATTTTAAGTTAATCATTTGCTACCATAATTAGGTTTTAGTGCACATTATTATTTTAGTTTTATGCTTA